ACAATCAAATAGGTTGAAGGCAATATTATCAAATGGCCAGCACACAACGAATTAATTGATGCAATTCTAAAATAAAGAAATAGCGTCAACTAAAATAAATAGGATCAGGAACTCCCTGAGTACTGTTGGTTTGAGTCGTCCCAGCGTCGAATGTCTCCACGCTCTGAATTACTAAGCAATGAGATGCCAAGATAGAAAATTCCGTGCTCGTCGAGGTGCGGTACTGAACAGTCAACTAAAATGAACCTGTAAATGATGTCAGAAAAATTAAAATTCACGATACTCTTTTTTTTTTTTACTCTTTTTTTTTTTTTTGACAACTCACAAAATCAAATAATCAAACTGTTACAAATCAAGCCCAAACATTAATAAGAGGCCCCAAAACAAATTAAGGCAGGGCCTAAACTGAAAATCATACACTTGGGCTCACAATACAAAACCCAAACTACCAAGGAGCAGTCCAAGTGGATAATCAAATACCCACAATTCGTCCAGCCCTATTGAATATTCATGAGACGACAGAAGCGATGTCGACGGGAGGCGATGATGACTGCGTCGACTGTGAGGATGACCAATGGTTGGAGAACACGAACAGAGACAGCGGTTGCGGTTGCAGGGTGGTCAATTTTCTGGGTCACTGTGACTGTTAGTGGTGGTCGCATGGATTGCAGGTGGTCGACAAAGGAGAGAGTTGACTGCTTAGGTCTCTGGTCTAGGAGCAGCTAGCGGGTAGTGAAATTTCTTGTTACTGTGTCGCCGATTTGTGGTATTGCGTTGTGTGAGGAGAAATATGGGTCGCCGGCGCTAAGAGAGGATTTTGGTTAGGTATGGATTTCTTGTAGACGTGGGGGCGATGTATTGCGTAGGTGGCTTTGTGAATTTGTAATTGGGGAGTGGGCTGACAGTTCAAGAAGCAGGGGCAGGTTTTTATTTTATTTTATACGATGTGTTGGATCAGATGTTAATATTTGTGTATGGTTTGGAGAGGATGAGTAGGTCAACTTCTGGGCAGAGATTCATAGTGTTGAAAACCAAGTTAGGCTCTGATACCAATTTGATGTAGGGTGAAGGATTCAATAACTAAAACAAGAAGAGATGGTAGAAAGGGAGAGAGGAAGAAGAACAGAGGCAGGGAGCAGAGAGGCAAACGGCTGGAGCCAACGTTATAATTTAATCAAAATTCATCAACTCCCAAATTACAAACCAATGATAGGTTTAAATAATGAAAACCTAGAAATATAGGGCCAAGCCCATTATTTAAGTCCTAATTAAAATACGTAAATTTAAATAAAAGTCCAACTGAAACAAAAATAAAAGTCCAACTAAAATACTGAAACAATAATAAAAGTCCAACTATAAGGATGTCCTCATCACTAAGGTGCCAAAACGTGTCCATACTGTTTTACAAAATTTAAATCCCCCAGGATGGCTAAGAAGAACTCATTCCCACGTTTCAACAAATGCTTTCGGTTGGACATCCTTTCAGAAAACTGAATACATGTGAGGAATGCCATAATAATATTGTATCAATGATAATCTAGAGAGTGCAGTTTCCAGTTTGATCTCGTTTCTTGCGATTCTCCTCCATGATTTTTTGAAGTTCTTTCTCACTGGCTGTGATCAGACGCTTGACAGAGTCGAAGGTGGTAAGCCTTATGCTGCGAAGAAAATGGAGAAGGGATTATAATCCACAGAAAATCTTAACTCGTATACTTTGAAAGAACCCTTCAAACTGAAGAAAAGAATTCCAATAAGAGGGAATAGGAAAATATAAACAGAGGATGCAAAAGTAAGAGACAAAACCTGCTGTTTGGTAGGGTTTTTAATGCATTCGGCACAAAACCCCTATATAATCCCAGCCAGCCATCACGAGCCACAATACCTAAATCACATTGTTTATTTAATAATTAGAAACTTCTAGCTGGAAACTCCAAGATTGCAATTTCATTTAATTGCATCACATTTCAAATCATTTTTTACTATATAGAACAAACAAGACTTAGATGGAATGGCAAAACCATAACAGTATCATTATCTTCGATTGCCTATGTGCTGATTTGATGCAAGTTGCAGTGAGAGCGTATAAGAGTGCGTGTTTATTACTGTATTGTCAAGTGTGTGCAGGTGCACATGTGGTTTAAGAAATTTTATCCTGCTCGTTACATAACTTTCAGTCACTGTTCAATCAACCTTTACACAGAGTGATGTCTATTCTCATACCTTGTATCTATAGCTTTATTTTTACCATTTTCGATTTATTCCTGTTCCACTTTGAAAAATGAGAAATTGATGAAGTAGTTAATTGACTTAGCATTATATTACCCGGAATGGCATCAAAAATTGTCTTGTACGGTGTACCCCTCATTTGCATTTGTCGTCTAACTGTGTCCAGAGGATAGCATGTGAGTGTGGCTATTGTGGCTGAGATCAAGGCTGTTGCCATGGATGTTTCAGTCCTATTTTGATATTTCTCTGGCAGAGCCTTCTTCACCCTGGCATTCGGAACAGATTCTGAGTTAGAGATATTTTGGACTTGGAGCATGTTTGGCTAAACTTATAAAGTTCATTTACAAGTAAATAGGTGTTAAAATTAATAGTTTTTTTATGGGTCAATGTAAGACATGATTAACTCATTTTGTAAGGGATAAATGTTTGTAAACAAACTTTTACTTCTTTTAAAGCTTAGCCAAACGTTCTCTTATTTAACCTAAATAGCAATTAACTGGGAGAATTGCAAAAAGAGTAATCTCACAAGTCAAAAACGCAAAAATTGACTGCAATATAAGGTGCGATTCCAATAAGAGAAGGTCCTAAACCATTATAAAAGGACGCAACTCCTTCCTCTCTCAACATGTTCAAGGCCACCTGAGGAGAATAAATAGGACTCATCATCAAATGCAGAAAGCCCTTGTGCTACGAATTTACATAAAACAAATAGCTTTACCTCTGACATTGTTTTATATCCAGGTTCAACAGCCAATCTTAACCTAAGGACGTCTAGAGGATAAGTAACCTACAAAAATAAACAATCAGAAGATATAAACACTTGTTGAAAGTACATAAACTCGGTTTTTGTGCGTGTTTGTGCAAAGAAAGAAATGGAGAGATCCTGAATAACATTGTGGACATCAAATTCTTGCTTTCTTTCTGCAATAAGTTCCCACAAGCCTCTAGCTTCACCCAAATACTTGGTACTAGTTGAAAAACTCACACCATGAAAACACGCTATGAAAAAGACATTAGCATGGAGTCCACAGACTAAGAGTAATCTAACAAGACCCCGTTTTTAGTCTGTCCATTTCTTTTGTAACTTACAAAAGTTGAAGTCATGCCAGCACAAGCACCTGCTGCTAATCTTCCAATTACAGAAAGATCTCCATCCTTTCCTCGGAATAGTTTCTGGAAAATGAAACGTTGATTTTCTCATATAATTGCAAATCAATATGATGCTATACGTCTTTCGGAAGATAGTTTCACCATCACCTTGTATGTTTCATAGGCAAAAAGCTGTGCTGCGCTATAAGGTATGATCCGTATCACCTAGAGTATTAAAATGGAAAAAATGAGTAGACAATTTCAGATCAATGAAATATTTATACGAGTTGAAATCATTGAATGACTGCAGAAAGGAGCTCTTGACACTGAGGAAAAAAAAGGGGAACAACATACCTGGGGAAGGTTTCCTTTCCAGTACCCCTTAATTCCTTCCTCCTTCCCAATTAATGTGAATGCCTAACAAATCCGAAAGGTTACATGTAATCATTGTACAATATATGGTGAAAAATATATAAGAAGCAATGTGTGAACTGTGGATGAATAAAAGTACTACAGTGGTAAAAAGCCGCTGACCAAGTACAGAAAAGAAAAGTTATCACTAACCTACAAAATCTGGAAATATGTCCAAGAAGAAAAAGAACTTATATGAATAAAGATAATGGAAAATGGCTGGGTGCTAAGACAATTAAGTATTGCTTAGGCTCCCCATACAAAAAGGAAACTGCAAGTGCATCTGCCTGTGGCAGTGATCGTAAGAACTATAAAAAAGGACTACTGAAAAAATATTGAACTAACATATTACAACTAGGAAAACAAATATGACAGCTAATGAGTCATGAAAAGTTGGGTTTAAGCATCTGAAATATTTACATATGAACATTGTGCTTTTCTTGAGGCATTATATGATGAGTCAAGCCACTGCAGCTCAGCACCAGTCAACTCCAGACTCCTTGATCTTGTCCAACTTAGCTAGTTAGTTAGTTTAACTCCATGAGTAAACTAGAACTGATTTAATGACTAATCCACATATTGAAACCATAAGCTCGGATCAATTTAGTCTCAAGATCGCATACAGCGTAATTACTTTTTGGCTTGTTAGTCTGATATGCATGAAAACTTCAGCTTTAGAGGTTCCCCAAATCGGGAAGCTTGCATCTTCTCTTTCTCGCTACTTTCCTTTATATTGTTTGCCAAGCACTGGTACTCTGTTTTTCTAATTATTTAGAAACAGAAACACAAAGAAAAAATTCTGTCCGCGGATGGTAAATCTTGTATCCATTAGTTTTTTGCACATAATATCAATTTTTATCACACTTCAGCTTATTGAATAGCACGGTCATCCCTCATCGGCCAAGTTTAGATGATCACCCAAAAAGAATAAATGGAACATAAAAAGTTGCTATTTTTTTCAGGTAAATTCGTATAGCAAAGTAGTCTCTATAGTTGCATGAATTTTTCTAAAACTTTTCGAGAGGTGACCTACTTTGGTAAATGTAAAAGGGGAAAATAGGACAGTAATGGCTTCTACAGACACTCTGAGATAAGTAATGAGTGAGCATGGAGGAATAGAAGAATATCCTTATATGTATAGCAGATAACGCAATCTCCACATCCTTTTGGTCCATGGTTCACTATGCAGTTACTTAGCAGTGTCTATAAAAGTGAATGAATAACATTTGTAAGCAAACAACTTGCCAAGAAAGATGCCATGGAGATACCTCAATAAATCCTATAGCCTTCTTCGCGCCTTCTTGCCCAGCTCTAAGCCCATGAGTCTGCAATGCAGAGTAATGGGTGAAGAATCTACAACACCTCTTATTTTAATAGGAGAAGCCATATTCTGCCCCTCCTAAATGAAACTATAGCCTCATTTAGAAGTCATATAAGAATATACAGCTTTCTTATATTAAAAGCAAACTCGTACACACGTACACACATGTGAAAGCATGGAAATGAACACTTGCAACAACCTGATTTTCAATCAACAACATATTGATTGAAAATGATTAAAAAATACCAGTCGGTAATGACCAGAATGAATCAGGTTAGATGAACATTACCACTTTTTACTGTCTACTTTAAGCGCGCGCGCACACACACCTTACAAGGCATGTTTTAAAAAAAGAAAAAAAAATGAAAAGAAAAACACCCTACAAGGCATGATGATTACATGGAACAGAAAAAGTTAAAATCTTGTTTGTTGTAATGTGCAACTGTTATGTGTTCCAAATTTTCAAACCAACTTACCAGTAAAGACAAGTGCAAATGATTAACATGTTCACTACTCATAATATTAGAAATAAAAGAGAAATTCTTATGAATCAGGCAAATGTTTCCAGCAATACAAATCAAGAAACAGAAAAATAGCGCAAATGAAGTAGAAATATTGTACCGATAACAGCAACTATTATTAATTACTGAACTGCCTCCAAATTCAATTATTAAATTAATCTTAAAAAAAACCTGCATAAGGAGCTTGATACGGTCGAGCGGCGCCGTGACGGTTTTGGCAGCGGCTCCGGCAATTGCGCCGGCGGCGAATAGAGCGGCATCTTTAGGAACCAATGCAACGAAAACCAAAGGATGCTTAACAAGCTGAGCCGACGTAGGCGAAAACTCCTTTTCTTCCCTCTTTTCAGCAACTGATATACACGCAAATTCATACCGACTGCCACTCCGGCTTGAATTGGAATTTTGAATGAACCATTTCTTCCGCCATTGATCTGGCTCTGTGAAACTGGTCTCTTCAAGACCCGGAATGTCCCGCCATACTAATGTGGCCCGGGTCTTATCCATTTTGAGAAACGGGTTTGGGCTGTCTGAGCAGAGAAAAAACTCAGTTTTGCCTCTGTTGAGATAAGGCGGAGAATTGGTTGCAGAGAGGAGAAAGAGTGAGCGAATGGAATACAAAAGTCAAAACTTATAGTTTTGGGGCTTTTTATTTTTATTATTTCATTTTAGACCCTTTCGCGGGCTCATAATTAACAAAAATTGTTTACCTTTCTTTAAGTTCATTTTATTATTATCGAACAAAATATAAAAGATTTGTATGCAATTTTGAAGTGCATTTCTCCTAAAGAAATTCTAAATTATTGAGAATATAAACAAGCACGGGAACTTAAAATCAATGTTTTGGAACAATGAAAGTACCTAAAAAAACATAAATAAGTACGATAAAAATATCTTTTGAAAATTATTTTTTATAAGTTCTCGAACTTAAATCTAAACGACTTAGGCGTACGTGCTTAGCTCAACTTCCTACGTCATCCAATTTTTCTTTTATCTATTCAATACTATCCTGAAAAAAGTAACAAATACATAATTAATTAATATGTTTCTTGACTAATAAAATATTTAAAGAGCACTAACAAAGTGAGATCTTTATTAATTGACACACTAACAATAATTTATTACATAACTTTAGGCAAGTGGGTGTTAGGCATAACCCTTATCGAGTGAACAGACTGGTCCCTAGACTCATCCCTAGTGAGTCTCACTTCCACTGGTAGGGGTCCAATATAACATACACTCCTCGACTTATTACATATGTGCATCAAAATCTAGACGTGTAACATGTTTAACGTGGAGCGCTAACTGACATTCGTGTTGAAGTATGTGCAGCACATGGGTAAATCAAAATTTTAACTCTTAATAACACCCCGTTATTTATTCATTCAGTTATGTCACTCTCTTCAAAGTCTAGTACACTTTAATCATATTTCTTAAATATTTTATTACATAATTACTTTGTGCACTAAATGGACGATTTGATATTCGCATTCTCAACTAGCGAAGTTTTGTTATGTTGAAAAGTAGTCTAATACATTCATTATATCCACTTAGGGCACGAGATAATAATCCAAATAATTACTGAATTTTGCAAAAAAATTTCACGGGATCACTAAACTTTAAAAATCATCAAATCACTAAACTTTACAAAAAAATTTTACTAAGTCATTGAACTTTAATAATCATCCCACTCATCACTAAAATTTGTAAAAGGTTCCTAAGGGTCACTAATTCAGTGATCTCTAAGGAAACTTTTTACAAAATTTAGTGATGTCGTTGAAACTTTTTACAAAATTTAGTGATGAATGGAGTGATTTTTAAAGTTGAGTGATCTCATGGAAACCTTTTGCAAAGTCTAATGATGACTTGGGTGATTTTGAAAGTTCAATGATCCCTTTAAAGTTTTTTGCAAAGTTCAGTGACCATTTGAATAATTATCTCCTTAGGGCATGGATTCAATATTTTCACAAGCCTATCAAACGCTAAATTGCACATCATTTCGCCTCTTTACCCTATCTTTAACTTCTATAGCATAGTGGGTCCTATTTCCATACTTAGATTATAGGTAAGAACGTCTTTAAGAGACTCTTTAAACATAAGATGCTTTCTATTTTAAATAGTCAATTCTTAAAATTATATTTCTAAAATAGAACGTGAGTTTGGCTCTCCAAATTTAGAGAGTCAAACTCACTCTCTATAATTAAGCATTTAAAATAGTTCAATTTTCAATGGAGAAAAATAATATAATAATTTAAAAGAAAACTAGTGAAAATAAATGATAAAAAAATAATAATAAATTTTTAGGAGTAGTAAAATTAAATGTTAAATATAAAGAGCCTGTTGGAGTAATTAAAAATTTTTACTCCTTAAATTTATAGATACTCTATAAATTGTAAAATAAGTTCTTAGAAAGTAGAGATGCTCTTGAAAATGCTCTAACTATTTGAATAAAATTTAATGGTTAAACAAAAAGTAAGGCTAATTTTGAAAAATTTGAGATCCTATATGATTATTTATTATGAGTAGGATGGCAAAAAAATTGATTCAACCAAATAATCGTGAACCCCTTCCTCGGAACGGGGTGGGGATTATCAGCCTAACTTGATAAATAGGATGGGGCGAGGTTAATTTTAAATTTAAGTTTTTTATTATACAAAAATAAAAAATTTATCATCATTTTAAAGAAACACATGAGTTGTTCTAAAAAAATTGGCTAAAAAAACATAATAATATTCATCGACTAAAAATATAAAAAAGCAAACAATAAAAAAAATAAAAATGAAAAAAGATAAATGGAGCTGGAAACTTGCCTAGCCCCATCCCAGACCTACCTCGTCCCACTTTAATCGGGTATGGGATACGAGGTAAGGTGATAGAAATATACAACCATGCGAGCGACGAGAATGGCCAATCATCCCCCACCTATCCCATTGCCATATCTAATTATAAGCCCTTTATACATATTTTTAACAAATGTGGCAACATTAAATATTTAAATAAATAGCATACTTACATTTAAATGAAAAGTTTGTATAAAAGGAACTATGAAAATATTTAAAATATAAAAATAATTAGAATAAACAAGTAATAAAAAAAAAATTTGAGGCCCAAACTTTCAAAACCAATTGGATGCCATAAACCATTGACCTAGTGGCTTTGGCTCAGGCCAGCCCTAACAAAAAGATTAAACAGTTGGGAAAATTACCTAGAAACTGGGTTTAAAAACTAGTGTTCATCAATAAGAGGGATTAAATTTAATTTCATAATTCGGGTGGTAATTAAAAATTATTAAATAAATATATTCCTTAGAATTCAACCTACCCATGCCTAACTCCCACACACCACACCCAATCTCTCTCGCACGAGCATTTCCCTTTTTTTCTCTCTCTAGAATTGGATTGCCCGTCGTCGCTACTTCCCACATGGTCGCTATTGTACCCCTCTGTAGTGACACTTCTCCACAGCTGAGTTATCATGTACTGTTGACGCCTTGTTCGACTAAGATGACTTTGCGAAATTGATCTGGTCAAATTTCTTCACCGTTGGCAATTCAATATGTAGTGAAGGCTTCCTTTCAGTCAAAATTTTCTCCTTGGGTAATGAAAGATCTATAATTGGAGTGTTCAATTAATTTTGACCCAAATCTACGGATTCTGGGCTTGGAAAGTTGCGTTTTCAATTGATTCAAAAATGAGGCTGTAAATATTGATTGTGTGGATTTGTTGATGTTACAAGACCATGAAAAGGTGCACCCTAATGAGTATAGTCGACTGGTATTATGGAAAAGGGCATGGGTCTCGTCGAAGAAAGTGATTTTGGCCATCGATTCAAGCCAAATTTGGTGGCGTGAGGGCTGGTGCTGGGTGATACGTGTAGAGGGGAGTGAGGGCTATCCAATGATATGGAATTTTGCCGATTCGATGGTAACAGGTCGGAGTTTTTGGTGTTTTTTGTTCAAGCAATCAAGCACTAGATCTTTTAAAGTTGTGTTAATGGTGTAGTGGGGTGGTTTTGAGGTGGTGATTTTGTTGGATATGGTGGCGATTGATTTTTGTTGGTAGCAGTGGTGGTAGATATGGTGGTTGGGGTGGTTTTTGTTGAATCTGGTGGTGGTGGTCTTGGTCATGGTACTGGCGTTGGTTGCAATGTTGTTAGGTTGTATTGGTGGTGGGGTGGTGTGGTGCGGAGCGTTGCCAATGCTTCCATTGCTGGTAGTACGTGTAGTTTTGGTGAGGTGGTATACGTTTGGTTTCCAATGTTGGAAATGATGGTGAGTGACCAAATCTATTTTCATTGTGACTGCTTATGACCAAATTTGTGTTAACTGTGATTGTATGTGACTTGATTACATATGGTCAAAAATTAGACTAACATGGTCACAAATAGTTACACCAAAGACAAATTTGGTCATGAACACATAAGGTCACAATTAATACATTACGGGTCACAATTCGCTTTTAAGGTCCTAATTCAGTGGTCACAGGTTTGAATTCACAAGTTACTATCATTTCATATAAGTCACAAACTAATATAAAACGGGTTGCAGATCAATATTAATAGGTCACATGTCGTTTTGTAAAAGTCATGGATCAAATTTATAGGTCACACTTTATGTTACAAGTCACAGGTAACAAATCACAGGTTAAAAATCATATGCCTTGTTTGAGCCACATTATTTGAAAAAAATGTATTTTTCAACAGTGATTTGACATTATTTTAACGATACACTCTTTAATAAAAATAATATTATACGCAAATCCAAAATATTTTATTATTTTTTAACCACATATTTTCCATTAATATACTATTCAAAAATGCATTTTTATTCCAATAATGTGGCTCAAACAAGGGCTTAATTACAAAAATATTTTTTTTGATTGATTATTTCATAACTAAAATTTTAATAGTATTTGATTTTTGAAATTTTAAACTTTATTTCTTAATTTTGAAATTGATCATATGCATATTTATTCCATCTGATTAGATCACAGATTCAATAAAATTGGTTACAGATCACAATGTTCACAGGTCACAGATCTAATGGAACTAGTCACGGGTCATTGCCAAGAAAGAAGAAAAAATGTAGTTATTGAAAATGTGAGCGGTCATCGGAATAGTCGTCGGGAGGTCGTCGGTGCTGGATAGGTCGTCGATATTGTTGCTAGAGTCATCGCGCGGAGAAGTTTGCGGAGGTGGGGTAGGGCCTACGGAGCAATCGCTGGAGGTGGGGTGGGATGGAGAGAAAAAGAAAATGATTTGATATGATGGGTGGGTGGGTACACGGAGCAATCGCTAAAAGTGGGGTGGGATAAATAGATTAATTATTTATACTATATTATAATTAAATATTTAATAAATTTAATTATCACTTGATTTTTGAAAGACTTTTAGACGTTTGTTAGTTTTGAGATATGATTTTTCATGTGGTGTTCTCTAAACAATTTGCATTTTGTATGCTCAAATTTGTTGACATGGACTCTTTTTATTAGTGGACGACTGAGGGCAAGTTTATGGAGCAATAGATCAAGACTCCAATTAAATAGTGATATATAATGCTGAAACTTTTACTTCGAGGATAAAAAAAAGTAAAAATGTAGTTTGTTACCAATGATGTCAAGTTGA